ACCCACCAGGGTCCCGGGGAGGGGAAGGGGAAGGGATGTGGGAAGGGGTGAAGCGGAGCAGAGGTGTATAGGACCCCGATAATAAGATCTCACCAATCCTTGGCTGGATGTCCTGGCAGTCCCGGCGATCTGGAGAGAGACGAGGCAGAGTTCTGGTCAGTTCAAGCACCTTTAAGGCCAAGATGGTCGCAGGGTCTCAACCAGGTGGTTTTTATAGCCGTGGCAGGTTGTTTTTCGGGGCTGATAATGCCTCTGTTTACTTCTATGGCGGGTCTTCCTCCTGCATGTGTTTCATCTCTCCCCCTGTCTTCCCAAGGACATTTTCCGTGTTTTTCCTTATCCTTTTTAGCACTGATTAGGGAAGCAGGTGCTCTGCCCCTTATCTATTTTGGGGGGGCCAAGATTAGTCACACTCACTTATGCTAACTTCTGCTTGCACCAAGTGCCCTCAAGAGGGAGAGCTGGAGCTTGTCCCCTTAGCATCCATCCTCCCCATTGTGCCCAGTGGCCTCCTCACTTGCTGTACACCTCATCAGCACCTGGGTTTTGGGGGGAGATCGCACTTGGGGTTCAAACTGACACACGGTTCCCCCTAAGCCTCCCCCCACCAAGCACAGGGGAGATGAAATGGCAGTAAAATTCACACAATTCCTCATTTGGATGCATTTGGGCAAGTGGAATTCAAAAGCAGCATTTTTCCAGGCCACGAACCAGTTCTCCACATGCTCGTGTGTACTTTGGGGGTACCCCATGATGTGTCAGGAGCCTCGGTTGTGATATTGCATCAGCTGGATTGCAGCTGTAAATCTGCACCTGCAGAAGGCAGGCAGAGCCCCCAACCTCTCCCTACAAACCACATCTTAGCTCAGAGCAGTTTCGAACAGAGAACTTGACCCACTTGGTTGTTCTACCTGCTGCGACACAAGATGCTATCATCTATATCACTGCTTTTCCCCCCAGTAAAATACTCCAGAAGCTAAACCCTTTCCTGGAATAAATCATGTTCAAAATGTGGCTTATGGAGTCCTGGGGAGCTTCCACTCAGCAGCCTGTTATCCCCAAAGGGCCCTTATTTCCAGTTACTGCAGTACTGGCTGTGCTGGACCAGGCTTGAGGCTGAGCAGCCTTCCTCGATCCCAAAAATCAGCTTTTGTAGCAAAAGCACAGAGGGACTCGATTTTGCCTTATTTTTATGGGAACTGTTTCTCCAGCCGGGCATTTACAGCTGCAGTTACCTCTGCTGCAACACAGGAGTTAGTTTGACAGAGATGAAACCCCAACCGGGTCCTGCTTCTTCTCTGTAGACCCCTTTCTTCTACCCCCATGCTTTGCTCCAGCCCCCCAAACCAAACACTTTGTGGTAAGAAACCCATCACAGGGAGACGAGAAAGAGCCAAAAGTGTAATGAAGCACAGGGAATTAGTGTCAGGATTAGTGGACTAGATGCAGGCTGAGAAAAAGAGAGGAGGTGTTTCCCCCTGGGATGGACCATAGGGCAAGCACTGAGATGGGGCAGGGAGCTGGCTGGGCTGGGGTCTGGGTAATTGTCTTTCATTGCATAAAAAGAATAAATCTCTCCTAGAAATTGTGCATCTGAATAACTCAAATACACGAAAATTCATCTATCCCCCCCCCTTGGACCAGCCATGAGCCAAACACCCGTGCTTAGGAGCCACTGCACCCCAGCAAGGTCACCAACAAACCTTGTTTGTGTTAACACATCAGTTCAACTGACACCGGTTTTTCCTCCCCTGCTTTCTTCCCAGGACAGCAGCCCCAAACAACGTGGGGATGTTATAAACAGCAGCTGCTCTCCTGCACGTTCCCTCCATGGTTTATTTTTGTTGGCGATAGGCTGCCAGACAATGGGATCCCACCTCCACAGTGTTTTCTCTTAGGAGCAACACTGAGTCCTGAGAACAGTCTGGACGCTGGGAAATAGCTCAAATGTGTAAAAACAGCAGCTTCAAAGCAACACTAAGAATAAAGCCCTGTTCCAGCACACACACTATGCTTTTACATTGCAAATATTCCCTTTTCTTTCCGTAGGAACCACCCTATAGGTAAAAGCACTGCAGGGAAGTGTCTCTAAAGTTGTTGTAATGTCCTGGGGAATCCTCCCAAGCCAAAATATCTGCTTAGAAAACCCAATGCCACTGGCCCTGCAGTAACCCAGTGTAATGTGCCCCATGTCCAAGGTTTTAATGGTGACAAAAGCCACTTCTATGAGCACTTTGGTCCTGGCCAGGAGGCCAGAAGGTGGTCCAGGTGACAGCAGTAGTGAGAAAAGGGGGATTCAGCCATTGCAGCAAGCAGGGACATTGGGCTCAGCTCACAGCTATGCTGTGGGGATAAAGAGAAAATCACTTGCAGTGGCTTTTCTCATATTAAACACACACAGAGCCCTAAAAAAGAGGTGCTTACACCCCATTCTGGAGAGGTCCCAGTTTGGGAGTGACGTGAAACAAAAGGGGAAAGGCAAGCAGGAGGCAAGGAGGAGAGAGGCAGGGGTTGCTGCACCCCGCGCCAGGGGCTCAGCTCCGACAACAAGAGCTTTTAAGCACTGAAACATGTTTGAAGACACTAAAAGTACTTTCTGCTGTCAGGAAAGAGTTAAGGAGGGATTCGGCTGACCCTGAGTTTGAGCAGCTGAGCCCTCTGTGGCAAGGCTTTCCGCAGTTAGCAAGCAACCTGCTTCGAGCAGGAAACTATTTAAACAGAAGTGGGGAGGGGATGTGTTAGAGCAGCACAGGAAAATCTGGTACAACACAGACCAAAACCTCACACTCTACAAGGTGCAGCATCGCTTTTTCCTATTCATCTGCTCACTCAAACCATGCAGGAGGTTTCCTGGTGCCCACACATGGACTTCCCAGGGAACCCCCCCACTTTGCTGAGGATCCAGCCATGGGGAGATGCTGAGGCTTTGTGAAGACCACAAGAGCAACCTGCTCTAGTGGAAGGTGTCCCTGCCCGTGGCAGGGGTTGGAACTGGATGAGCTTTAAGGTCCCTTCAACCCAAACCAGGCCATGATTCTGTATGATGCTGTATCTGCACAAGGAGGGGGCACAAAAGAAAACCAAAACCTGCTTGTTTGATATAAGGGGGGCAGTGAATAAATACAAATAATAAATCACGTCTATTCTGTTCCCCAAGCATGGAAATACTGGGGACTGCTGCCACCCTGTAATGTCACATCATGCATTCCACTCTTCATATCCTAAATCCCAAGTGCTTCATACCTCTCCCTCCTGAGGACATTCCAAAGCCAGTCTAATATTTTATCTACCATTCAAATACTTCTGCACAGGAGCCATGCTCTGTCACAGCAACCAAAGGAGAATAATTTCCTTATGTGTGTAGATTTTCAGGCACTAGATTTGTTTGAGCTTTCTTGCTTTTGGCTTTAAAGCCTCGTGCCTCTGCCTTTATGGTGAGATACATTGGTGTTCATCATTCCCCAGGCCTGTAGAAAAACACCTTGTGCTAAAGATTCTGCTGAAGAAAACAGCTGCACAGCTTAAATCACATCTTTGCCTTATTTTGAGTGCTTTTTGATTTTAATGGAGGAGAAAGCAGCCAAAATTCAGCCCTTCCTGCTTTTATTTTTAATGCTAAGCTCCTACACTTGTCATTTCTTAATTGCACGGAGCTAGATCTAAAGGAGGGGAAATGAGGTGATGAAATAAAGAGAAATCATAATTAAAAATCAGTGAGTTCTCCTTGGTTTTATTCCCAAAGAGGGTTTTGGGGCATCCCCTGTGGTGATGGAGAAGCACATGGGGCTGCTGCCCTGGGGCACACCTGGATGTGGGGCTTGGCACAGAAGAAGGGGTCAGGCTGAAGCTCTGGGTGCTGCCGCAGATGCTCTTTGATAGCTGTTGGTGAGACATCTGCACCAAGACGAGGAAGAACCTCTTGGGTAAAGCCAGCCCTACCGCTAAGAGGGGACCCTGCGTGGAGAGGGGAGATGGCACAAAACCCCTCCATCACTGGCTCCGCCACCATGGCCCGGCTGTGGCTCCATCTCTGCATGTGCCTCCAGCTCCCAGGTAAGGGTTAAGGGCATCTAAAATCATGCCGGAGCCTCTCCTCCATCCTGCTTTAGCATATGGGATTTTACACAGCATCTGGATGATGGAAGTTTAAATATAGGATAGATTCCAGGATATTATTACCTATCATTGCATAATTTTGGGCAATGCCCTTAATAACATCCTTTAGTTTCTGATCAGCCCTGAAGTGGTCAGGCGGTTGGACTCCATGACCATTGTAGGTCCCTTCCAACTGAAATAGTCTATTCTCTTCTCTACCCTGCTCTGCTCTACCCTACTCTACTCTACTTTAATCTAAGTACAATATATAATGGTATAGACACCACAGAATTTGTTTTTCCTGCATCCTTTTAGTGCAGATGGACTGTGGGAAGCTGCTGATGGAGAAGTTAAAGCAGCACCTATCTACACTGCCACTGTAATGCAAAGAAATAAACACCCCATCAAATTTTCCTCTAAATCTATCCAAGGATTGAACGTTTCCCAAAGGACAAGCTGGAATGGGTGTGTAACAAAACCATGCTGCCTTCTGCTTATTGCAGACGGGTTGCAGGAGGTCTGAATTGAATATATAGTTGGTGTAACAGCAAAGTGATAGAACTGCTTTAAGGGACAGTTTGTGCCTTCAGTTCTTAGGTGGAAAGTGTTGAGAGCTTGAAACACATGTTTAATGTGTATATTCAAGTGGCAGCTCAAGTTAGTCCCCTAAAATGCTGCCCAACCTGGGTCCGCTGCTGCCCAGCACCCTCGCTAGAAGCTGTAAGGACTGCAGGGTGTTTGTTCACATTGTGTGATGGTCACCCAGCTACAGCACAGCACAGCTGATCTGGCAGCAAACAGCCTATATTCAGGTAGAAATAGCCTATAGATCTATACAGTGGGGTCCCCGCTGAGAAAACCCCAATAAATTAGTTTGCTCTGCACATGTGAAGGGAAAAGGGATCATTTTCGAGCTGCTGCAGGCTGGTGTAGCTAAGCTCATGTGGAAACAAACCCATCCCACTCAATTCCCTGTGGTCTCCTGATGGAATATACCCTGGGAAAGGGAAGAGGGAGGTTTTGGGGTATGAGGCAGAGAATGGAACTTTTCTGCTCTGGCTTTGTCCCAGCTCACCCCACTGGAGCTTGACCATTGACTCAGAGCTGAGCCGAGCATCTTCCAGGATCCCTTCTCATCCCGGTGTTTGCCAGAGCAAAGTTTGGCAGGATTACACTCCAAAACCTGAAGATTATGTATTTTAATTATAAGGAGACATTTATACTGTCACAGCACCAAAGGATGTGGTGAAATGCTGTGGCTGCATCAATGCTGCCCATATTCAGCATTGCAATATTGGGGCTGAAGCCTGCTCATCTCTGCAGGGCACCAACAGTGATGGGGTCATCAGTGTGGGGACAGAGGAAGGCTCTGGACCTGTGTAAGTCACCAGAATCCTCTTCTCTGACGGTCCCCATTGGGGACACAGTGGACATTAGGCCTATGGGCCACAGGGATGGCTTCAGATGTTCCTGTGGTCATGCGAAGCCATGTTTGCAGGGCTACATGAGGCTGTTTGCAGCAACTACTGGAAGCAGCTTTGGGGTTTTGAAGGAATAGGGACATTTTAAGGTTAAAAAGGCCCCAAAATATATTTTATTGAGCTTTTTGCACAGCTTGAAAACACATCTGGGAAACAGGCGGGGGAAGCGGGAGCATCCTTATCTTCAGAGGGCTCTTTTTCACCCAGTCTCAGAGTATCTGCAGCTTTGTAGGACTGTTTGCTTAACAGACAGGATCACAAGCCACTGTTATCCTTTCCACAAGGACAATCCTGGCTCGCACACAGACACTGCTCACATCTGCCTGGGCCAAACACGACTCAGATAATATCCAAAGGAGCTTTGAAACCCAAACAGGGCAATGCAATGCCAAAGCCAAGCTTTCAACCCTGCCGCCACCCCTCATTCCCTCTCCCTCCCTCCCCAGCTCCTGCAGTTCATATGAAACTAATGTCATCTGAAAACTAACATCAAATTGGCTCATTTTGAGGTGTTTTGCGTGATTTGGGGTCTTTTTCTGCAGCAGAGGTGAAGTTTATCGGTGTTGCATCTGGTAGAACAAAAATGTGGCAAATAAGTTAAAAGGCTCAAGGAAAATCTGTTGAAAGAGAGATGAATCCTCTCTGAAAATGAAAGAAAAAAGGAGGGGAGAGGGGCATCCATAGGAGTAGGTGGGGATGCTCTGCCCTGCACATAGAGTCCTGAGGACACCCTAAAATCATCCCCCCCATCCCTCTCCCTGCCACTAAGCCTCCTCCCTAGATGAGCGTTTAGAGGGTATACTACCTGTTTAAGTACAGGTATACTACCTGTTAAGTACAAGTATACTTACTACCTGTTTAACTAGGGTTGATGAAAAAATAGCTGGGAAACCCAAAAAGGCCTCTGAAAGAATAGGGGATCATCCTGATAAAGATGCTCCTGTTTCTCAGTCGTGTGATCCCCTGGTCTGCAGCCACTTGATCTTATTAAGCCCACAGAAAAATCAGTTCTTAGCATGGAAGTGATGAGAAGCAAATAACAACTACTCATTCCTGTCCCTTTTCTCTTAGGTTTCTGTACAAATGTCCTTTTAACCCAGACTCCAGAGCATATCGTAGCCCAGGCTGACAACGAAACAGAACTGCTGTGTGAGCTGCGCAGGGAGCATGCCGGGGTGTACTGGTACCGCTGGAGCCAGGAGAAGCAAAACTTCCAGTTCTTGATGTTTTTCAGCCTGTTGGGCAAAGCCACGTACGGCACAAACATCAGCCAGGAGAAGTTCAGTGTCCATGGGGCGAGCTCCCCCACCTCCTACAGCCTGCGCATCAGCCACCTCCATGCCTCGGACAATGGGATCTACTACTGCTCCATCTCCCAGTCCTCCCAGCTCCTCCTGGGCACTGGGACACGGCTCAGTGTGGGTAAGCATCACCCCTGGGGTTCCAAAATGTACCACTGTGATGAGCAAGGGCAAAGGGTGATGTGTGTTAGTGGACCCTTCCCAATCTTAAGGTGCAAGGATGGAGCTGTGGGGTTTGTCTGAGTGAGACTGGATAAGGCAGAAAATACAGATAATAATAGTTAAATTTTAGGTCAGCTGCATGTCACAGTCTTCTTGCCACCAGCAATTGCTCTGCTGTGGTTATGCCTTGAGCACTGTGTTTGTCTAGTGTTTTAGGATTCCTGTGGGAAAACCCTCGTCCCCTGATACCCCCATGTCCTGTGCTTTTGTCATCCCCTGTGGTACCTTGGCTGGATGCGTACCCTGGGTCTTCCCTACCCATCCAAGTGACAAGAGCAGCATCGAGGCCTGAGGACATCATCCCCTCGCTTCTCTGGGGTGGGTCTGGCTGCAGGCTTCAAACCTGTCCTTCACATAAAGGGTCGAAATGGGATTTATTCCTTAAAGCCACTGTTAGTGGGGAGCTCTAACCATAAATCAGAGCTGTCTGCAGGTGGCATGGGGGGGATAGCGATGCTTTACAGACCCGGGGTCAGGCAGCAGCTCTTTTCAGCCCATTTTGCCTTTAACCACGCACAGGAGCATAAAATGTATAAACTTTAATGTGTCTGAAGGAGGATTCAGCCTTTTCTTTGCAGGCTTTTAGGGAGACAAATAACTTACTTAACCAAGATGTAGCCACAGCCGCTGGCTCTAAAGCAGCCCCAGCGCCCCAACCTTTCTGGGTTGTTTTTGTTGCAAACATACCCTACACTTCGAGCTGGCTGAGAAAACGCATTTGGATTCTTGCTGGATCAAGGAAAAACACGTTTCAGATAAAGGAGAACTGTTTTTCATCAACTGGGCACATATCTCTGTGCAAAGCAGAGCGTGAAAAACAGGGTTGAAACTCAGCACGCCCAAGGACACTCTAATTAAAACCCAAACAGCAGCAGGTGCTCCGGGAGGACCAGGCTTTGCTGAGTATTTTCTTTTTCTCCATTTAGTACTCCTGATAAAACTGATTGTTTTTAAGTTCCTTTTCTTTAAGTCTATTATAATGTAAGGGAAAAGTTGTCCAGATAAATCCCAGGCACCTGATGTCTCATCTTCCCATGTAAAAGAACCGTGGTTCCTGTAGGAATTTCAGCCCTAAAACAGGAAAAGTTTTGAATCACTCAAAATTTTGGATAAGTGCAGTTTGAGCAGTCAGGATTATCAGCATTTTAATTCCATTTTACTGGGGTGTTTCAGTTTAGTATTACTGGGATATTTTCCTGACCAACTTTCTCCATTGTAATTCAAATGCACCATAATAAATCCTGCCCTCGTTTTATCAGGAAAGGAATAAATAATCCAATTTTGAGCAAAGATTAGAGGAATCTGAATACAGAAAAGATCCAGGGATCCCTTAAAACCTCCCAGTGCTGCTGAAATCTGCTGCCCCAGGGTTTTGTGCAGCACTGATGAGGTGATGCCTGGCAGTAAATGTAACTCAGGGAAGTTTTCTTCTTCTCTGCCTCAGCTTCCTGCCCCTCTTTGCCTGGAACTTTGTTTTATTGATGCTTTTACAAGCTCTTGGTAACTTCTGTGGCCACCCAGAGGTTCAGGTCGAGCTCATGTCCCCTCCAGCCCTTTACAGGGTTGCTGGATGGGGCTAGTTTCAGAAGCCCAAGCCCCAGCCCTTCTTGCCTGCTGTTTTAAGACCCCCGCTGCACTCGGTGCTACACTGACCACCCTCTTCTCCTCCTTATCCACCAGTTGACGTTTTGCCTCTGCTTCCAAAGACCACGCAGACACCCCTCTCCAAAAAGCCCCTGCGGTGTGTGACCAAGAGCAAATCTCCCATCAGGAAAGGTATGGCACCGGGTGTCTCAGCGCAAAAGGGATGTGCTGAGCTCCTGAGGGTCCCCAGGGTTCAGATGCAGTTTGTCCTGGGGTGGGGGCAATCATAATGTTACCCTGCAGGGGTGGGCATCTGGGTCTGCCTAAACCCACTGCTCTGGATGGAGCTGACCTTTGCCTTTAGGAGTGGTTCCCTGGGATGTACAAGGGTTTAGGGGCCAGGATAAGTTTCAATTTAGGTTCCCTGCAGTGCCTTCAGGTGCAGTGCATCCTCTAAGGGATACCCCGGGGTGATGGTCATGTCTCCCCCCACCTCCTCTGAGGACCTGCCTTGCTTTTCTCCCTTTCCCACCCCACACTCCATCCCCCAAAGCTGATGGTGATGAGTCCCCTCCTGCTCTCCAGGTGCCTGCAGCCCCCTGGTCTGGGTCCCACTGGCCGCCACCGTCCTGGTCCTCCTGCTGAGCCTGGTCCCCGTTGCCCATCGCTTCCACCGTAAGCATCCTGCCATCCCCAGCAAGGGGTGTCAGGCCCTGGGACAGCCCAGGAGCAGGATGGGGAGCTGGAAGGGGGTCCTGGGGCTCACTGATACCGTCTCTCCCCAGGTATGAAGCGGAGGCTGTGGCTTCGGATCCACAGGCAGTAAATCCCATCGGCTCCTCAGGCAGGCAGAGAGAAGCCTGGACGTGACTCAGGAAGGATGTTACAGGAGAGCTTGTGCTGCAAGAGAGACATTTATTCCCTGCAGCAGACCATGACTTTAACACTTTTCCTTGACACAACATCTGGCAAAAGGACCAGGTTGGGCTCTGCAGCATGCTGAGCAGGGCAACCACCAGAGCTGCTGTACTGAAGGGATTCAGGTGGGCTGGAAAGATGCTGTGAGCCCCTTAGCTCTCATCTGTGTTCATCTATAGGACAGCATGAGGGTGATTTTTGTTTGCTCCTGCTAACAGTGGTTGGTAAGACTTTGGTAATGAACACTTTGAGAGCAATCAGCAGATGCAGGGGCAGATCTCTGCACAGCTTGTAAAGGCCCCGTATGGGCATGTTTGTTAGCAACAGGGAATATATCTCTTATATTATATACACAGGGAATATATCTCTTAGCCATTTTGCTCTACAAGTTGGTGTCTTACGGCCCTGCTCTGTGAGGGACATGGTTGCACAGCGAGCAAGAAACCATGGCCTCTGCCCAAGCAAGAGTTAAAGCAGAGCAAAAGCTCTGGGGGGAGCAGGTCTGGGAGGGAGTGTTCTCCCATGGGAGACTGCAAACAGCCAGGAGTGGGAGAGGAGAGCCAGGTGTGTGCAAGGCCAAGCACCTGGCACAGCCTGAAGGCCAGCAGCACCTTTGGGAACAAACAGAGGGAGCTGAGGGCTGGATCCGAGCCCAGCAGCTTGGCACAGCCAGCGAGGACTGTGCTGAGTGATGCCCTTGTGTGCTCAGCCCTGAGTGATACCCATATGTGCCGAGCACCAAGCAATGCCCATGGATGCTCAGCCCTAAGTGATGCCAGAAGCAGGGTAGGTCCCCCCAGGGATGTTAACAAGGCTCAGCCACTGCTCGGGTCTCCAAGCCTGACCTGGGGCTGGAAATTAAGCATCTTGCTGAGTGCAGGGAGTGAGAGCACTTGCTCTCGATGCACCCGCAGCCCCACACCTCTGCTCAGCCACAGGCACCAGCGCAAGGCTGCACCAGCTACAGTGAGTGCAAGGGGGAAGGTGGCACGGTGCGGATGGGAAAGCCAGCAGCTTCTCTTTCCTGCTGGGGAAGCAGCAGGGAGCTCCTGTCCTGCCACTGCGTGTGTCCCTACAGCTGCCCACAAGCCAAGGGCTGATGTGGCTCCAGAAACCCCAGGGCCAGGGCAAACACAGGCATGGGAAGAGCTTGTAAAGCATCACAGTGGCACAGCAGCATCCCTCTGGCCTCCCTCCCTCCCCTCCCAGCAGCAGGGAGCTGCTGCTCTCCACGTTAATACAGGTTTTTCTGGAGGGCTTGGTCTCAAGTCCAGCTCCTTTGATGGATGTTTCCCCCCAGTGATGCAGTGATAAAGCCATCAGTGGACCACGCTGAGCCAGCTTCCCAGGCCGTGATGCTCACCAGGCTCTCAAGACACTCCAGACCCCATCCCACAGGGATGCTGCAGCGCAGGGTCCTGCTCTGACACATCATACCAACAGTGTATTTCAGTCTCTGTGAAAGCTCAGATGAACTAAACCCACCATTGTCCTACCCTGCAAGTACTCAGTGCAGAGAACTTCACTCCAGGAGCTGGTTTTTATGTGTCTGATTTTTATGATATGTATTTTGTACAGGACGACTATGAGGAATCCCCTTTGAAACCCCCCATGGGCAAAGGTTTATTCTTCCAAAACCAGGGTTTTCCCTCTGTCTGCAGGCGCTTTTGACATCCCAGCTCTATTTCCCATGCTTGAGGCATCCTGACCTTAATGT